CTTGATTTAGATTCATTTCGAGTCCATGTGAATTGTAGTGTGTTTGTTGCGTCCTCTGTATCTGTTTCTAGTTTAATGTTTTGTATTGTGCGAAATGTGTCTATGTAGTTTTTGCTTGTAAGATATTTGAGCAGAGGACCTTCTATTTTGTTTGACCTATATTTAGATGTTGCAGATCTGTCTATAGTTGAATCTTTTACACTGTTAAAATCTTCTAATATTATGATTCTATTAGTGTCAGTCGAGTTAAACCTTTTTGTTATTATCTTGATCCATTCCATCAGTCTTGTACGCAATACTAAGTTAGCTAGTCTGCTTACTGATAGAAAGTATACTGTTATGATTTTTACTTTAATTTTTCATTTAAATACCATGTCTAATGTTATCGCATGGTTTTCGAATGTTTGAATTGAATATACATGTTTGTTAAGTTGTTTTTCAATCATAATTCCCACTCCATGGTTGTGTGTTTCTGAACCTTTTGTCCAGTAGTATGTGAATTCTTTGTTATTGGGGTTTTGATTAAGATTATTTTTTAATATGTGAAATTGGTTGTGTAGAGAATGTCGGATTTTTGTTAGGCCTAGTATATCAAATTGGTAATTATTTGCAAAATCTATTATTTGTTGTTGAGTCATTATATTGTTTAAGCCTTGTACATTTAATGTTCCAATTTGTATAAATTTTTGGGAGTCAGGATTTTGTATTTCTGACAGTTCTGATCCTGATGTAAGAGAATTATCGTTTGTTTTTGAAAGGTCTATGTTAGAATCTGATATATCAGTCATTACATATATATATATTTATTAAGAGATGAATGTATATTTTTTATTTTTTGCACTATTACTATTGTGGTTATGACATTTTTTTTTGTTGTTTCAAGTAATATTTTGTAACTTTATTTATAATTATATATTTATTAATAATAATAAAAGATATGTCATTACATATATATATTTATTAATAAAAAAAAACATCATATATATATTTTTTGTTGTTTAAAAAAATGTTTTTTCTTATATGTTATTTATTTGTTTAATGTTATGAATAAAAGTGGATCATAAATAAAATGATTTTATAAAGTTTAAAGTAAGGATAGTTATGTTTTAATTAGATAGGACTTCTTTGTGTACAACATTTTGTGTGTAAGTGTTATGTTTCCCAATAACGTTACTGTTTTTTATCAGTACTTTGATATTCCAATAAGATCGAGCTCGTGAGAGAGCTATGTAAAGTTGACCATGTGTGAATACATGTTCAGATAAATACACCAGCCTGCCAAAAGTATCCGGACAGCTGTTTTTTATCAAATTTTTTTAAAAATCTCAAGGGTGAATTCTGGCACAAAGAATAATTTAAATTGTACAAACTTTTTTTTAAAAGAATTCCCGAATTAAGGACTATTGTATGATATCTCATTTATTCAAATTGGATGCCTACTCGTTTTAAAATCTTGTCTTAAATAAAAGTTACCAAAAATATTAAATTAAATTGTTAACCGAAATCTCATTCAATTTCAGTAACTATCTACTGGAAGTGCCTACTATCTTATAAAAAGTTATAAATCTAAACTAAATCTACAACTTTTATTAGTACCATATTTCATGTGTTTAGTTAAACCTAAAACTTTACTTAGACACGACTAAAAAATGATCAAAATTATTGTTGATCATTTACTATTTAAAGAAAATTATCAATCGTTGTTACATATAAAACATTATTTTATACCAATAAAATCTTAAAAAAAAAAAACTCTCTCCTGCATCTGACAAAATCCAAAAAAATAAATAATTCAAAAATTCAAAAATCTTATGGACACAAGAGACGAAAAAATTTTTTTAGGAGTTCAACCTCCTGAAGGAAATACTTCGACATCAAAAGCTTTAGAGTCCTCTTTTTGAAAAACCAAAAAACAAACAAAGTTACGAAACATGACATTTTCAGAAAAACTACTACACTTATAAGAGTCCTAGAATTTCCTACTTTTTTCCTTTTCACAACTTATAAACAACAAAAACATACTATTTTCACAGAAAGCATTATCGATAACCCGGAATACGCAGTGCTGGTTACCTTTAATAGTATTAATATCTCTTACAACACAAGAAAATTTACAGCTGTAGCTCAAACCTTTGACATTATTCCTTCTTACTTACAACAAAAAAGAATAAAGCAAGTGACGAATAGCATGGATAACATAACACTCAACCAAGAAGACCAAGAACTATATATTAATGCCATTAATTCAATAGCAGAACTTCCAAAACTAAACTTTC